TCTATCTCTTGCCTGACCGTTCTGCCAATCCTATGATCCTGTGCTTGGAGCTGGACTGTCTCACAAGAAGTGCTGATTTCAGGCTAGAGATAGGTAAAATCATGCAAGGGGCTCCATGCCCTCAATTATCACAGATATTGAGCAGGGACTGGATTGTGCTCAGCAGTGATGCTCACCACAGTGAAATATTTTTAAGCGCATCAATAACTTGCATTCATAGAACACGTTTGAATGTCATATAAAACCTCAACATGTTTCATAGGGACAACATCAAACAAAATTTGACATTGGTCACACAAGATGCTACTTGGGCAGATACATAATCCAAGTGGATGATTTTAGGCTGTGTTCTAATTATGGAAAAAAGGAGAGTAGTGACTTCTTTCTGGGAGATCATTGCAGATATAGATGTCTTTGGTGAAGTGATCAAATTTGGAGTTTCACGAGGCACAATTAGAAGAGTTTAACTCCCTTGAAGGGTCGTAGGAGAGACAGGAAAGTGGCCCTGGTATGAAAGGATTTGAAAGCAAGGATAAAAATGTCGTCATTGTGCTTTTGCTTACAAATGGGAGCCAATGCAAGTCAGAAAGTGTAATTAATCTACAAAATACTGTAAAATACAATTGAAGACAAATTGCTCAGTTGGGGTCAATGCCAGTGGAACTGTGACCCAGTGTAAGTCATAATCTTCAAAAGAATTTTCTCCCTCTTTACAAAATTAATCTTCTCCAAGGATGCAGTTGTGTCATCTGACAAATTCGATTCTGAAAGAATGAGGGTTTTCTTTTCAGCAAATCATTGGAGCGCTGACCTTCAACATTCAGCACTGTCTGTTTCCGTTTATTGTCAAGCTTTCACATGTGAAGCCTCCCCAGAGTGTCAGTGTTCCAAACTCTTCTGCTGATGCCAGACTCTCAGGGAGTTGATTTGAACAAGAAACAGCATAAACAAACAAAGGGAGAAAGGCAGCAGCAGGGCTGCACATGACATGTGTTGGCTTGGAATTCTCTGCTTCCCGTATTTTAACTCACACTAAATCTCCCACTCACCCATTGCTCAAAGATCTGCATAGGTTTCTGGGACACTACCACCTCATCTTTTAAACTCTGACCACCACCTTCAACGTCCTGCACACAGCCTCACTCCCCTCCCCCAGCTCCACCACTTCTGCCACCCATCGAGGGCCCACTTTCCTCTATTCCCTAACGTCGAGGGTCTCCATTTCTCATTGCCCATCATTGGCGACGGTGTCAGCTGCTGTCTAGGTGCTCAAATCTGCATGTGCCCCTCCTCTTTCAATCCTCCTCTCTCTCTATCTCTCTCTCTCTCTCTCTCTCCCTCCCTCTCCTCCTTTGATGTCCTTTAAGACCAACTTCTCTGACCAAGCCTTTTGGTGGTTGGTGCAGATGTTTCCTTCTTTGGTTAGGTGTCAATGGTTTATCTGATTATGCATCCATGAAGTGCCTGGAGGGATGTTTTATTACATTAAGTGGTATCATATAAATGCAGGCTGTTGTTGTTAACGTTGGATACCTTGATAAGGCAGCTTCTCATCCAAATTGCCTTTGCATGAATTCCTCAGCCACGTGGCGCAGACCTTCTTCTGTCTGACTCTGATTCCGACAATTGTACAATCGAAGTGCTCTCCAATACACAAAAAGGCCCTTCAGTCCATCGAGTCTGCACCAGTCAAAAACAACCACCTAGCTATGCTAATTCCACAGGCAGTGAGTTCAAGAAATGTGGAGCTGGATGAACACAGCAGGCCAGGCAGCATCAGAGGAGCAGGAAAGTTGATGTTTTGGGTCGGGACCCTTCTTCAGAAAAATCAGAAAAAGATTTCTGAAGAAGGGTCCCGACGCGAAACGTCAACTTTCCTGATGCTGCCTGGCCTGCTGTGTTCCTCCAGCTCCACACTGTGTTATCTCTGACTCCAGCATCGCCAGTTCTTGCTATCTCTGAAATTAGCTGGCGTGGAGATTTCTGGAATGAGTGTGTTATCTTATGAGAATTGGTTAGGTAGGCTATGCTTGTTTCCACTGGGACTTAGTAGAGTGAGAGAACATAGAACATCGAACAGTACAGCACAGTACAGGCCCTTCGGCCCACAATGTTGTGCCGACCTATTATTCTACTAAGATCGATCTACCCTGCATACCCTACATTTTACTATCCTCCATGTGCATATCCAAGAGTGGCTTAAAAGTCTCTAAAGTATCTGACTCCACTACCACTGCTGGAAGCGCATTCCACACACCCACCACTCTCTGTGTGAAGAACCTACTTCTGACATCTCCCCTGTACCTTCCTCCAATCACCTTAAAATTATACCCCCTCGTAATAGTCATTTCCGCCCTGGGAAAAATCTCTGACTATCAAAGGTCACTTGATTGAAGCGTATATGATCCTCAAAAGTCTTAAGATAGCTATGAAAATGAGTTTCCTCTTGTGGGTCAGTCCAAAAACAGAGGAAACTACTTAAAAGCTGAGGGGATTGTCAGGACAAAGGTGAGGAGATTTTTGTTTTCTAACTTCATAAGGTTATGGAGATTGGGTCATTAAATATATTAAGCCAGAGGTAGGTAGATTCTTGATAAATGAAAGAATCAAGGGTTGATGGGAATCTGAACATAGTCAGATCAGCCGTTATTTTATTGAATGGTATAGCAGTCCAGAGGTGTGAATTAGCCTAATTCTGCTCCTAATGTGAATGTTCTTATGTGATGTAAGTCCTGGGTGGAAAGGAAGAAACTATGCCCAGCACAGCATTCTAGTCTTGATGTAAAGTTCACTAATAAGCTTAGAGGTCCTCCAACAAAGGTTTCAGTTATAGAGAGAGGAGATGCCCAGACCTCAACAATATCCAGTGATTATTGTGGCAAAGTGAATAAGAGCGCATGTTAGGCTAGGCCAGAATGATGGTTGTCTTATGTTCTCCCTTATCAACTAACCCCTTGACACTTAATGTCTAGTTGCCCACTTAAAAGCTGGTCATGTCTAACAACTTTGATTGAGTTATAGAGTAACAGAGTCACATGCATGGAAACAGACCCTTTGGTCAAACTCGTCCTCACATTCCAATCTGATCTCGTCCCATTTGCCAGCATTTGGCCCATTTCCCTCTCAACCCTTCCTATTCATATACCCAATCAGATACCTTTTAAATGTTGTAATTGTACCAGCCTCCACCACTTCCTCTGGCAGCTCGTTCCATACACGCTCCACCCTCTGCGTGAAAAAGCTATGCTTCAGGTCCTTTTTAAATCTTTCCCCTCTCATCTTAAACCTACACCCGTCTAGTTTTGGACTCCCCTACCCTGGGGAAAAGACCTTTCTTTGAAAAGGTGACACAGGCAGAGGAGTGTAGTGTTGTGGATGTTGTATATTTGGACTTTCAGAAAACATTTGATATGGTGCCACATGGCAGGTTGGTTAGCAAATTAGAAATTTGAAATTAGAAAACGTTTGTGATTGATGGGTCCTTGGCAGCACGGATTAGAAATTGGCTAAAAATTCGGAAACAGAGATTATAAATGGGGATTTCTCAGACAAGAGATAAGTTGAAAGTGGTTTTCCCCCAGGATCAGTGTTGGGAACCTTGCTTTTTCTGATTTATATAAGCAATTTGGAGATGTGTGTTAAGAGCAAATTCTCTATATTTGCAGATGATTCTAAGCGAGGAGAAGAGTGAATTCTAGGATCCTTGGGTTTATAAATAGAGGCATAGAGTATAAAAGCAAGGAAGTGATGCTACATCTCTGCAAATCATTGGTCAGGCCACATTTGGAGAAATGTGTTCATTTGTAGGCACCTTATTTCAGGAAAGATGTTAAATCCTTGGGGAGAATGCAAAGGAGATTCACTAGAATGATACCAGGAAGGAGGGATTCTAGATATAAGGAAAGATTAGACAAACTGAGCTTATTGACCTTGGAGCAGAGAAGATTAACAGGTGACTTCATTGAGGTGTGCAAAATTATGAACAATTTTGACAGGGTAAAGAAGGATATTCTGTTTCCATTTGTTGGTATTTCAGTAACTAGGGCTTACAAAGTCAAGATTGTCAGCAAGAGAGTTGGGAGGGGGTTGAGGAGAGAAACTTCATTACTCACAGTGGCTAGGATTTGGAATGCGCTGCCTGGGAGAGTGGTGGAGGCAGATTCCAACAGGATATTTCAAAAGAGAGCTGGATATATATTTAAAAGGGATTAACTTAAAGGGATATGGAGATAGGGCTGGAGAATGGGACAAGCTGTGTAGCTCTTTCAGCAGCTAATACAGACACAATGGGTTGAATGGCCTCCTTCTGTACTGTCAAATTCTATGGCTCTAAGTTCAATGAAGGACTGCCACTTCCTGTGGAATCCTCCACCATCCTGTGGATTTTAATGGACTAGATGCTCAATGGGACAAGCTATGCTTGCTGCAGGTAACAAGAAAGGGCATTATCCAGGGAGGGATTCACCTCCTGACTCCCCGGAACCTCTCCGGCACCGACAAGGCACAAGTCAGGAGTCTTTCGGAAGCAAAAACAGAAAGTGCTGGAGAAACCGTGCAGGTCTAGCTGCATCTGTGACGAACTGCATTCATGATTCCAGTCCACTACAACTCTTTTTTGGAACACAGTTCATAGTGGACTTGAAACATTAGCTCTGTTTTTTCTAGCTCTGCCAGACCAGTTGAGATTCTCAAACACTGTTTCAGATCTCCACCATCTGCAATGCTTTGCTTTTATCTGACTATGGTGGAATATTTGCTGTGTAAGTGCATCTGTCGCACCAGTCGAGGAGATTAACATGACCCTGGGCAAGGCAACATGCTTAATTGGTTTTCCATCCATCACCTTAACACGACTCCTATTACTACGTATAGACAATGTTTGGCGTGTCTACAAGGAGTACTGAAAAGCATCAGGGTTTCTTCAATAGACCAAACCTGGGAGTTAAGAGGAAAAGCGCAACAGCCAAGTTTGATTCCTCGTAAAACTCATTTGCACTTACAACAAGTTCCGCAAACCTGGCGTTGAGTTCATCGGCGGGCGGGATTGGGACGGAGAATTCCAGAAGCTGCAGTGGCACGCTGCTGTCCTTGAAGGTGATCTCTGGGTGATCAGTGCTCTGGAAGCAGCAAAGGAATCCCAGCACATGCCTATTCCGTTTCCTTGGAGCCATGGTCAGCATCTGTTGTGCTAGCTATTGTTCATGATCTGTAACAGGATAGAAAGCAGGAACAGTGAATGAATGAGTGTCACACACTTGGTCATCCCTTCAATTTAAATCTGTCCAGAAGTTGTTTCTGAGAGACACAACTCTTGACCTGGACACACAAACAGATTGGGTGATAGTCTGCCCACACCTTTGGACCGCTGATCCATAGACATAAGTTCAAATCCCACTCTGGGATTTACATTCTGGAGTTTCAAAAACAGTACTGATAAAAGTGACCATGACGTTATTGGATGGTCATTATCAGCTCAGCGGTGTCCTTGCCTGTTCTGGTCTAGTCTTTATGTGGCGCCAGTCTCTCATATGACTGACTGACTCTGACTGATAGAGAAGGCCATACAGTTTTATCAACCGATGACAGTGGTACGAAAATAGGGTGTACTGTTATCTTGGAGGGACAGCAAGGTAAATGGTTCGTTAGTGATGAGCACATCTCAAGAACAAATCAATAATCATTCACAGAATCCCTACAGTGCGGAAGCAGGCTATTCGGCCCATTGCGTCCACGCCAACCTTCCAAAGAGCATCCCACCCAGACCTGCCCCCTACCCTATTCCTGCATTTCCCATCCTAGACACTATGAGAAATTTAGCATGGCCAATCCACCCAACCTGCACATCTTTGGACTGTGGGAGGAAACCAGAGCACCCGAAGGAAACCCACGCAGCCATGGGGAGAATGTGCAAACTCCACACAGACAGTCGCCCGAGGGTGGAATCGAACCCGGGTCCCTGGCGCTGTGAGGCAGCAGTGCTAACCACTGAGCCACCATACCACCCCAAAATTTCACACAATGGACACCTTTTGACAGATCTCTGCCCATTCATTCAACCTGTCTCTAACTCTCAGCAGCATCCTTATGTACTCTCTGCAACTTACTTTCCGATCTATTCTGTCTTGTTGGCAACATATCTCTGTCCCTTCATTCAGATATTTTCTGATCAACCTGTACAGAAATGTTATTACATGCCTCTGGAGCACATGGGACTTGAACCTGGGCCTCCTGGCTCAGAGATAGGGACACAAGCATGGCACCATAAGAGACCTTTCTAAAGACAGCAGCAACATCGCTAGGGCTAAAGGAGAAGGAACGAGGTATGAGGTACAGATAAATGTCGCACACAAAGCAACCTGTGCCCCACCCCACCACCACCCCCAGCCCCAGCCACCCCGCACCCCTCCCCCCCCCCCCCCGACACCACTTCCCCCCTCTCCCCCCCCACCCCCCACCACCTCAAGGGTTTCGCCCTGAAGAGAGACGTAAGGAAGACAAGCCGGTGAATACATGTTGCAGTCTGTAACAGCGCATGTGAAGGTGTGAGAGAGAAGACAGTTAACTGAAAATGGGGACAATAAACAGTGACTGTTTTACTGCATTAGTAATCTAAACACCAAAACTAATGCAAGAGATGTGAGTCCAAATCCCATTGCGATGGCTTGTGGGCTTAAACCTAATTAATCAAGTACATTTGGAGTTATGAAGCTGGTGTTAGTAACTATGGGGCTATTGAATTGTTGTAAAAACACAACTGGTTAAGTCATGTCCTTTGAGGAAGGAACCCTGCCATTCGTACCCAGTCTGGCTGATGTATAACTCCAGACAACAGTGAACTGTTTGACTTTTAAGAGGTCTCTGAATTGGCCTACCTCTTATAAAGTCTCTAACCAAGATCTGGAATGTGTTTTCGCAAAGCTGCTGGAAAAGTCCCATAAGTTTAGAAATTAAAAATTTAGAAAGTAATCTGTTCCCAAAGAGTTTCTGGTAGCATTCTAACTTAGCAAAATATACCGCGTGCTTTTTCAGGGGGTGAAGCTTCTGTCATTCAGAGACTGTCTGGGGTTCAGCTAAACCCCAGTGGACTACCTGTCTCTGTAAATGACCATTCTGCTAAGTTCTGCACTGTCAGTTCTGCCAATGCACCGGAACCACTTTCAGTGCCCAGCTTACTGATATCAGGAGAGATGAGGCAAGGTCAAAATCTGCTGGATGTTGTACTCAGTGCAAAGTAACTTCAAAACATCTATCATTTTGGTTTATAATATGCTTAAAATAATTCAGCTGTGACCAAAAGCTTCTGATTCCCACTGGCTGAAGGTTAAACTTCATGGTTGAATGTTTGGCTCCTGTATGTTATTTAGAATCAGAGTCATACAGCATGGAAACAAACCCCTCAGTCAAACTAATCCACGCTAACCATGTTCCCAAATTAAACTAGTCCCACCTGCCTGCCTTTTGCTCATATCCTTCCAAATCTTTTCTACTCATGTACTTATCCAAATGTCTTTTAAATATTGTAACTGTACAGACATCCACCACTTCCTCTGGCAGCTCATTCCATACAAGAATCACTCTGTGTAAAAAGGTTGCCCCTCATGTCCTTTATAAATCTTGCTCCTCTCACCTTAAAAACATGCCTACTAGTTTTGAACTTCCCCCACCTTAGGGAAAGATATTTGCTATTCACCTTATCTATACCCTTCATGACTTTATAAACCTCTATAAGGTCACCCCTCAACCTCCTAAACTCCAGAGAAAATATGACCCAGCCTATTTTAGTAACTCAAACTCTCCATTCCTGGCAACATCCTGGTCAATCTTTTAAGAACCCTCTCCAGTTTAATCATATACTTTATACAACTGGGTGACCAGAACTGTACACAGTACCCTGTAGAACCTCAAAATGTCCCAACTCCTATACTCAAAGGTCTGAGCAATGAAGGTAAGTGTGCTAAACACCTTCTTAACCACCCTATCTATATGTGAAGCAAACTTCAAAGAATTGTGTACCTATACCCCTAGGTCTCTCTGTTTGACAACACCACCCAGGGCCCTACAACTCCTCCCCTTGTTTGTTTGACCAAAAAGCAATACCTCACATTTATCCAAATTAACTGCCATCTGCCACACCTCAGCCCATTGCCACAATTGATCAAGATCTCTTTGTAATCTTGGATAGCCTTCTTCGCTGTCCACTATACCACTAATTTTGGTGTCATCTGCAAAATAAGCTAACCATGCCTCCTAAATCCTTATCCAAATCATTTATATAAATGACAAACAAAAATGGACCCAGTACCGATCCCTGTGGAACATTGTTGGTCACATGTCTGAAAAACAACCCTCCACCATCACTCTCTGTCTTCTGCCGTTAAGCCAATTTTGTACCCAATTGGCAAGCTCACCCTGAATCCCACGTGATCTAATTTTACCATCTAATTAGTCTACCATGCGAAACTTGTCAAAAGCTTTGCTAAAGTCTAAGTAAACATTGTCTACCACTCTGCCCTCAGCAATCTTTTGGCTACGTCCTGAAAAGACTCAATCAAGTTTGTGAGACATGATTTCCCTTGCACAAAACCATACTACCTGTCCCTAACCATTCCTTGCCTCTCCAAATGCATCTAAATCCTACTGACCAGAATCACCTCCAACGACTTACCCGCTGTCAAAGTCAGGCTCAGCAGTCTATAGCTCCCAGGATTCTCCTTACAGCCTTTCTTAAATGAAGACACAATATTAGCCACCCTGCAGTCCTCCTGCACCTCACCTGTGGTTGTAGGGTGGCACAAATATTTCTGCAAATGAAATAATTGCATAGAGGCCGGGACCCATCACCAAGTCACCCTTTATTTACTAGTGCACATTGCACTGGCTGTGACCAGCCAGCTCCAAGTCAATCCTGAACTGAGGAGATTTTAATCTCCTGGTTATATTTTTGTGCTCGGAGTCAGTCGCCTGGACTGAGGAGATCATCTCCCTTTTTTTTGTGTAGGTGTGAGTAAAAAAAAACACCAGGGGTACAAATAACTTTATTAACATAACACCACCGGGAAAATCGCCTGCTTATCGTGCTCAGCCAATCAGCTTTCCCGATTGGCCCACGTTAATAACCCAATCAAGAACTTTGTAGTTAATAAGATCAACCTGGTCCCAATCGCTACAGCAAGGGGCCCCACAATTCCCTCCTTAACTTGCCACAACGTCCTGGGATACACTTGATCAGGTTCCCGAAATTTATCCACCTTTATGTTTTCTAAGACCTCCCTCTTCTGTAATGCGAACTGTTTTGAAAACAGCCCTATTTATTTCCCTCAAATTCCCGAGCCTGCATTTCTTTCTCCACAGTAAAAGCTGACACAAAATATCTCTCCCATCTCCTGGGGTTCAACACAAAGACGAGCTCATTGATCTTTAAGGGGCCCTGCTCTCTCTCTTTAGTTAATAGCTAATTTTATCTTTTTTTTTGGTCTAATCTTTTTTGTTTTCCTTTTACCCAGGGTCTCCCTGAGACGGTGGCAAACTGGACACCAAGTGCCAAGGTGGGTAAATGGGCCAGACCATCAGAACAGCTACTGGCAGGTACATAACAAGTGCATGGACTGTCACTGGACTCAGTGCTGGCCTAGCAGAGGCTTGTTTGCCTAGGACCATCAGTGACCTCACTCAGCACAGCCCCAGCAGAGGTCTTTGGGAGTGGGTTGCTCAGTGCTGAGTGGCCTTGGGGGCAAAAGAGACGAACAAACATATAAACGTCGGAGTTAGGAGACAGCTATGAGGAGAGGCTGGATAAACTCAGGTTGTTTCCAACGGCAACAGAGAAGGTTGAAGGGGGAACCTGATAACGGTGCCTGAGATTATGAGGGGCCTGGACAGGGTGGATAGAAAGCAGCTGTTCCCCTTTATTGAAAGGTCAATCACAAGTGGGTGAGTGGGGGGGGGGGGGGGGGGGGGGTTCATCATGTTAAAGTGAAAGGCAGAAGGTTTTAGAGGAGGATTTGATGAAAAACCTTTCCCCCAGAGTGGGTGGGAGGGTTCTGGAATGCACATCCAAGGAGGGTATTTGAGGTGGGATACCTCACAACTTTTAAAAAGCGCTTAGATGAGCACTTGCAGTGTCGTAACATTCAAGGCTCTGGGCCTAGTGCAGGAAAGTGGGACTAGTGTAGGCAGTGGTATGTTTTTGGCAGTACAGACTTGATG